TATATATATATATATATATATATATATATATATATATATATATATATAATTGGTAATTTACTCCAATGCCCTCCAAATTCCAATGCTTAACAACCCATGAAGATGTTTTCCTATCCTATAATAATACATTGTGCATTCTATACATGTATAATATGACCTTGTTAGTTAGTTTATGAAAAAGATGACTCTTGAAAAGAATGTATTTGATTAATCAAGTCAAGACTCAAGAATAAATAGAATACAAGATGGGCCAATCATAAGGTCCTATAATGTGATGTGCATTCTCTACATCTATAACCTGATTATTGTATTAATCAGGTCAAGGATAAATAGATTAGGAAGTGGTCAAATAGGCTAAACTTACATAAACCCTAATAGAACAATTGTACATGCAATTGCAACCACAGAACATAAAAAATCAAGTTGGGTTTTGGTATAATTGGGTGGATGCTCCTCTTTAAATGGTTATTTTTTGAAGTTTTGTCTACTTATTGTTTCTCCATCTTTCTCTTTCTAGAGGGACAAAAATTGCACTCTCAAAAGGGTGGGAGTGGGACAGGGACAGGGACTTGCTCTTGGTCTCTTTTGTGTAAAAGACGTAAATGCCCTCCCCTCCCCTCCCCTCCCCTCCTCATTCTTGTCATCAAGAATAACCGTAGAAAGTTTGTTGTAACAAACACATCCTTAAAGATGTTTGTTGTAGTATACGTTCCTTCTTCTATATCTCATTTGTGAAGATTAATATTAGTCTCCACTAGGGTGTTAAGGATGTTATATTTTTGAATTTAAGTGTGCAATAGCTAATTGTTGTCATGTCCTTGAAGAACCAATCAAAGTTTTCCTGGATATTCTCATGTAGTGACCTATCCATTTTTTTTTTTTTCTGTGTGACATCATTACAAGAGAGAGTAGCATGGAACAGCAATTAGAAAGTTGTTTCACAAAGTGACAAATTGTATTGTGAATTATATCTGGCATGATTTTTGTACTCATCAGATCTTGGATTCACAACCGGAAAGTCAAAGGCAATGTTTGGAAGAGAAGGGCACTTGGGGATAACTGTGGTTAAGTTTGGTGGTGACCACTCGGGTCTAAAAGATGCCATGAGACTTGCAGATTTTTTCGAGAGACAGAAACACGGGCGTGGGTCCTGGGCATCCCTCAGATCAGGATCAGGTTCAGGGAGAGATGAAGACAAAGATCAAAATTTTGTCAAGTTTGATAACAAGACAGGGGAGAAAGAGAGAATCTTGTATGGGTATTTAGGAACCGTGTTTGATCTCGACAGCCTGGATTTTGATACCAAAAAAAAGGTCACAATCGAGAGCAAGAGAGAAAAAGCACAGCAACAACACCCAAACCCTAACCCTACTACTTGATATCATTTATTTACCACCACCAACAACAAGTCTAGTAAGGTACACCAAACAAAGTATGTTGTTTGGTTATATATGTTTTATTGGGTTCGAAGATAGAAAGTAATTAACAACACATGGGGCTTTCGGTAAAAAATTGGTTAGAAGTAGATGTTGCCTTTGGACATGTACAATCGCAATCGCAATTGCTTGGTTTTATTTATTTTCTTGGTGTTGCTGTTAGTTATTCCATATAATCATTGTGTATGGCACTTACTTGTGTTGATTTATATGCATACATGCATTTATTTGTTTCATAAGTTGGTAGAAAAGTAAGTTGTAAATACCATCTTTGTTTTCATCATTCTACAACCTTTTTTTAAGCCACATTTGTTACACTTCATAGACATGACAGGTAATATTATGTTTGGTAGTGATTGGCTCATAGGATGCAGACCACAATGGTGGTGAAATTACTAAAAGGTCAAATCTGAATTGGTAAATCAAAAGCCTTTGAACTCTATCATCCAGAAGAGATTGGAATGATTTGGTCATTTAATATTTTTGACATATTTCCATTAGTTTTACATGAATTAAGAATACCTTTTATTACTTTTGGCTTCTAATGCTATCATCATTTCCAAAAAATTTATGTCAAATTAATCAACTTATATTTGAGAAAAACGCTTTCAGATAACGAATAAGTTGTACTTGCAAGTTGGTTAATATAAAAAAGTCTCATTTCAATGGTAACAAGTTTTAAAAAGCTAACTGAAATATATTAGACAATACTTACAATTTTTTGCACCATCCTAAAAAGTTTATCTAGTCACATATAGCACACTCTCTTATAAAGACAAAAGACGTAATTTATATGCACCGATTTTAACATTATTTTTTTAACATTTAAACTACTTTTTCACATTAACAGTGTAGTGACAGCTTAATCAACATTAGAAATACAGACAGGAAAGATATTAACGTACATTACACCAACTACCATTAAAAGGTTAGTGATCACAAATCACATTAGACAATAAGAAGCATTATGAAGCCTGATGTCATGTCATGTAATTGATTGTCAACGATAGTAAGCATGCTGGAAAGCTGGTGACATGACATTCCCATATCCCCCATAAGCAGCAGCCGGAGGTGGAGGAGGATAGTTCATCGGAGGAGTTCCCGGATACGTGAACGCCGGAGAATGTGGGGCGGCTTCCGGCGAATAGGCGGCATAATGATTTACCGGCGGACTCCTGTTTCCATGTCCATAGACCGAATATTGTGGTGGTGGATATTGGGTATTATGTGATGGAGACCTCACGAATGTTGGTGGGGCCGGGAAAGAAGATACATATGTGTTTGTGATACGCCCTGCTTTTGCTGGCGGCATGGGTCCCACGTTGCAGGCTCTGGTTCTTTTGTTGGCGGGACTCGTGGCGGCTGGCCTCTTTTTCTCTATCTTCACCTTCTCCAACTGTTGTAGCCGTTTCTTTAGGTTCTCAGGGGGAAACTCAGCCTCAAGTTTGTATTCTTCTATGCATTTTATCACTACTCTTAGTGCAGACTGCTCTTTGCGTGCAGCTAGGTGCTGTAAAAAAAATCGGATACAGGGGCAAAAGGGTAAAATTCAAGTTTCCAACTCATAGCAATGTTATCGAAATACAATACAAAGCTTTTCTATGATACAAGTCTAGGAAATGTTGACTAAATTAAGCTCTGATGAATGGAACATAAAGTCATAATCATAAACTGAGATGTGTAATGATTAGTAAAGGGGTATTTAATACCTGAGCACGTCCAGAATTGTTGGGATCTTCCATGATAGATGTTGCAGCCTTCTTTGCATCCTTGAGAAAAGCTTTTAGCAAAGAAACAGGGGGAAACCTCTCAACAAGGCCAACTTCATGAGTGAAATGCACAGCATCAACCTGTTGTCCTCTGCTAATTAATTCTTCAATCATATCTGCATGCACCCAAAAGGAACAACAAACATTTTTCTGTAAATTTCTTGAATTTGGTAAGTTAATTGCTTCAAATACCATGGGCGTGATTAAAAATAATCTACAAGTTTCAGAAATATACCAGGCATTTGGTCACCGAGGCCAAGTGAAACAGAGAGTTTAGGCATCTGTTTACGCCAAGCAGAACCAACAACGAGCTTTCTATACAAATCGAAATCTTCATCTTTGACAATCCCGAAAGTTACTAAATGCTGCAAGAATGTATGAACTTCGGGTGCTTTCACATTCTCAATCCCACCACGCTCATCCAAACTCTCCTTCCACGTTTCAGCGATCTCCTTGGCTGTTTTCTTCACACTCGGTGTCACAAAAGCCCGTGAATGGCCTAGTATCGGATCAATCATCACCGGAATCAAACTCTCAAGCATCAAAACACAAGCCCAGCCCAAATCATTGACGCAATCCGGCCTCTTGTCCACCGGAAAAACCTCCGATATCGCCTCCAATACGAACCTAGCAGGATCCACACACTCGGCCAAAGCTATAGGAATTGTAGCTCGCATCACATCCATTTCTTTCTTCCTGGAAGAGATAAACCCCCAAAATCCTAATGAATCCATCTTCACACAGAAGGACTTCAACCTCAACAGCAAACCCTCGGAATCGTCAACTTCGGGATTATCTTCAGCGTCTTCGCTTTTGCTTGTTCCGACTGCAGCTGCTGCGGCTTTCATGGCTTCTTCTACTTTCCGGATAGCGATGGAGACGGAATTTTCAATTGTGGTTTCTCGTTCCTCGAGGGAATTGAGGGAGGTTTTAGTTTGGGTTTCTAGGGTTTTGATCTTGTCCTTGATAGCATCAGATTTCTTGAGGAGATTTTGCTCCAACGAAGTGAAATGATCGGTAAGTTCTTTCCAGAGGAGAGTGCAGCTGGTCATGAGCGAAGCCTGGCGTTGGAACTCATCGAAGCTCGGCGGCTGAGTTAACTCGCAGGGATCAGGGGTAGACATGGAACCCATAATCGATTAAGCTTCGATGTGTTCTAAGACATGGATACGAGGAGAAGAAGAAGAAACCCTAGAACTGTAGAGGGAGAGAGAAAGTGGGAACAGCAAGAATTGGTTGGAGGGTGCTGGTGGCGATAAAAAGGCAGGTTAGGGAATGGGGTCGGAAGATGACGTGGTTGATTGTTATTGGGCCACGTATGATGTTTGTTACAAACATAGAAGGCATGCGTACGATAAGGAGACCAACAGCGATATTTACCTGTATGTTGATATGATGCGCCGTATACGTGTCTAGAACTCCAGCGTTCTAGTAGTGTGACCACAGCGAGCCATGCTTTCCAACCATCTGCACGTGACAAGTGACACCCATTATGTTCAGATAAGTTCTAAAATTAGTCCTTCCGGTATATGAAAATATATGGATTTAGTCCATGTATTTATTTGTTGAATAAATGGTTTTGAGAAATTAAATTACCTCCTAGCACTATCGGTATTAGAGTTGACAACCATTACTCTGTTGGTATTAGAAACTATGTTTAATTCCAAAGTAAAATGACTACTGTGGCTTATCATATCTATATTTCTTATTTAAAAACCTTACAAATATTAATCTGTTTAGTTTTAAAACTCTAAAATCAAATTAACTTATAAACCCTAGAATCAAACTAAATTGCCTAAAGCCAAAACGACAATTGTTGTTCAATCAAAATGTTTGTTTGGAAGCGAGTTTCCCGTTTTTAGTTTTTAATAAAATATCGATTTAAACAAAAGTTTCGGTTGGGAATACGGGCTTTTAACTCTTGGTTTAATCAAAAACTCAAAATCTAAAATCTACTTTACGTAACATTTTTTTTTTAAAGGGAACGTTGATAACGAAGGTTTTCAGGTCAGATTTTGCGCACTGACTAATCTCCTGTTAAGAACATGAGATTATGCCTCATGTTCTGAAGTCATTGCAGTTGAACCTCCATAACCACAAGGGCTAAGTAGTATCTCCTGTTAAGAACATGAGATTATGCCTCATGTTCTGAAGTCATTGCAGTTGAACCTCCATGACCACAAGGGCTAAGTAGTATCATGATTTGAACATGAGTTAATGAATTACCACATCTTTCATATTTATTATTAAGTCACAACAACCCAATAAAAAAAAGTTATTGGGTTTTTTTAATCAATTTCCAGAATGGCCTATAAAAAGATATTTATATATTTATTTTTTTAAACAATTTTCTATTTATGTAATGTTCAGTGTTGTAAAAATCCCGATTAATCTCCAATTAATCCCTAGGCGTTACTCGACCGATTAGAGTGCGCCTAGCGATTAATCCTTACATACATAATAACTGAAACAGTAGAACCCGATGAAAATTTAACACTTTGAAGAAGTTATATCTCAATAGAAACTATTTGAGGTATGATTAGTGTTGTATTTATCATTTTAACCTATTTTGTTATGATATTAGTGGTATTTATGAACTTTTATATGATATTAGTCATATTTAATTTTTTAACATCTATTAAATTAACAATTAATGGTCCCCGATTAATCTCCGCCTAGCCGATTAATCCCTTAACCCCAGTCCACCGACTAGTTAACGTCGAGCGATTTTTACAACCTTGGTAATGTTATACATTTCAAAAGATTCTAATTATTTTTGTCAAACATTTCAATAACAAATAAAAACTACAGTTTTCATCTACCCGTTAGCTTTTTTAATAAAACCCTATATATATCCTTCCAAAGGATTTTACAACACATATCTATATGAACGACACGTTTCATGATGTGTAAATGTGATAGATTTTGTGGAATAAGCTGATGCAACCGTTTAGATGTAAATAACAATGAATGAAAAAAACATTAGCTGGAAAGAAATAAAAAGAAATGAAAGAATGCCACAATAATTGATATAAAAAAAAGCAAATCAATTATTGATAAAAATCTTTTTAGGCGTCATCAAGACAACACAAAATGTATAAACAACTCTAATATTGTGAAAAAAATCTAAAAAGTTATTCTCAAATGGATATTCTGAAAACAGGAAACTAAGGGGTGTTTAGATTACTTTTTAAGCCTAAAAGTTTTTTTTGTAAAATTTCTTTTTATAAAAGTTATTTTGAGGAATCAAAAGCCAAAAGTTGTTTTTAAAAAGTGTTTGGGTAGTATTTTTTGATTTTTAAGTGTTATTTAGCTTTAAAAGTCCAAAAGTTACAAAAAGTCACACTTTATTGACTTTTGAAAACTCACTATTTTCTTCTTTACAAAAAGTTATTTTGAAAAGAACTTTTGCATCTTCCAAACATTTTTATAACTTTTTAGAAAAATTAAAAGACAAATGTCATTTAAAAAATATTCCCAAACACCCTCTAACTTAAAAAAAAATAAAAATAAATAAATCACTAATTCCTACAGGACAATAATTGTAGACTAAGGAAATAAATCACCTAATAATGTGATTAAGAAACAACTTATTGTATAAGTAAACTAAAATCATTACTTTTATCATGGGATTATCTCTTCTATCTTTATCCAAATGCAACGAAATTTCAAATGTCACTTTTTAGGATTTTTAGGATGTCCCCTTAAAGTTGCATGGCTTTTGGATAGGCATCTAAAATAATTTTATGCAATTATGCTCCAAAACATGAAGGGTGCACTGCTGCTGAATTTATAACTTGCACTCAATTGAACCAAAATCATACTTATAATTTAAAGTATATTTTACTTAGAAATAAACTTCATACAACATCTTAATAAAAACTTTTTTCTTAAAACAATTAACATGAACTAAAAAACAAAATTTTATAATGGGTCCTTATGGTTTGCAAAATATATCATTTTGAAAACTTTTAAGAAAAACGTTACGCCACTGTCCCTGTGGTTTGTAAAATTATATGAAAGGTCATCCGGCCGTTAATTCTAACTTTTTAGCTGTTCAATTTTAATGAAAAAGATTATTTTGTGTTTGAAATTTTTTGGTTTTCTATTTTTTTTTATAATTTTTGTTATGTATGGTTTTTGTAACTTTTTTTGTTGATTCAAAATAACCAAAATTAGAAAAATCATAAATAACCAAAATTATAAAAAAAAATAGAAAACCAAAAAAACTCAAACACCAAATTTGTATACTCTAATATATTCATACATTTTACATTTTTTAGAAAATGTCAAAAAAAAAAGTTATCAAATGAATGAAAAATAAAATGAAACAACTAAAAAACAAAAATAGGAAAAAATAAAAAAATAATACGAATTTTTTTAAAAAAAATACGAAAAAAAACAAAAAAAGATGAAAAGTATAAAATATATTAATATATTAGAGTATATTACAACTTTGGTGTTTGAGTTTTTGTTTTTTGTTTTTCTATTTTTCATTACTTGAATCAAAATAAATAAAAACAATAGAAAAATAATAAATAACTAAAATTATAAAAAAATAAAAAAAAAATAAAGGTAAAATAATGATAATGATAAATGCAAACATAAGGTTGCTAACTATATTAACTATGGAGTATCCAAGTAAAAAACATGAACCGTAACAATATCAAATTAAAAAAAATAAAAATAAACCATTAACGCTTCAATTCGCAAATAAGAAAAAAATTAAAAAAGAAACGGTTTTGACATGGTTTATCGAATTTAAGTTTATTTACTTGAATAAAAATAAATAAAAACTTAAAAAAACCTCAAATAACTAAAAATATAATATAAAAATAGAAAACAAAATGTCAAAAAGATAAAAAAAAAGTTATCAAATTGTTGAAAT